ATTTAGCTCTCTCTGTGGGGATTCCTCCTTTCCCCTCAATTGGGGGGAACTTCTTTTTCTTCCCATTTTTGTGAGAGTCTATTATTTATTTATTTGTTTGTTTATTTTTGCTTGTGCTTCAGTTGATCCATCTAGATTTCCTGACTTTGTGGATTAAACTTCTATGGTAGTAGATGGGTCTTTTTATTTATTTATTTATTTATGTATTTATTTATTTACTTACTTTTCTTTCTGGGTCTGCCTCTGATGATGTCAGTTGTTGACCCTATCTGACCTTGGGTCGTTTGAGGCTTCCAGGAATCTACTGTCTTTGTCTGACTACTGTGATTGTCAATCTGGTCACTCTGTCCTCATCTGTCAGGCTTAGGCACCACAGGGCGGAGCAGTGCCTCCTGATGGTGGGACTATCATGCCCTTATAGGCTGCTGTCACTCAGGGGAGTAGTCCACCTGAGCCAGATGGATATATGGACTGGGGAAGAGTCAGCACCTGGAATCCCCAACACCTCTGTCTCTAGTCTCTCCTCGAGGGTCTTTGGGCAGCTCTGTGACCCCTTTGCCCAGGGATTCACTATTTCTGCGGATTGCACTGCACTCTCACGCTGGCTGACTTGAGTGTGCTTGCCCCCCAGGCTGGATCACCCACTGGGCTGTGCGCGCCTGGGCTCCGGCCTAGGCGGGTGCCCTCTCCCCGGCTGGGCTGGCGTACTCGCCCCACTTCACGTGCTAGACTGCTGCCAGGTGGGCCCCGGCACTGGTCAGTTTAGGGTCTTCTATTGTGTTCATTCCCCGCTTTTGGCTCTTTTGCCTGCCTGTGCAAAATGGAGACTATGGAAAGGGGAAGGAGTCGGCTCCGGGACTCTCTGGTTAATCCTGTCTTCAGTCGCTCCCCAAGGGTTTCTGGGCAGCTCTGTGACCCTTTGGCTAGAGACCCACTATTTCTACAGACCATGTTGTAATCACGCACCTTCTGGCTCCTGGGCCCACTTCTGCCTCTTTGGGGGCATGGCCTGCTTGAGCAAATGGGGACTACGGAATTGGAAGGGAGTCTGCTCCAGGGATCTCAGATAATCCTCCAGTTCTTTCCCCAACCCCTCCATCTCCAGTCTCTCCTCAAGGGTCTGTATGCAGCTGTGTGTCCCCTTTGGCCAGGGATCCTCTATTTCGTCCAGCCAGTCTGCACTCAGCCCCCAGCTCACATGCGCACAAGCTGTGTGCGGAGTGCACAAAAGGCAGGTTAATTGATTCCCTTATGCCTGAGCGGGATGGTAGCTGCAGAGTGGGAGGTGAGTTATCACTGGGGCTCTGCTGGCCACCATCTCAGTTCTCTTCACAAACTTTTCCTCACCAATCTTTCCTCAGGCACCAGCCCACTCTCCTGCTGCCTCTACCCAGAGATCAAGGAAGGCAGCTGCCACGAAATTTTTTGTGTTGGCCCTTTAAATGTTTCTTTGCATCTCCAGCTGCCTGTCTCTGGCAGAGAGCACCCCTAAGCTTTTCGGGGTTATGTTTTGTCTTTGTGTTTTCCTGGTTTCAGCTGCTGTAGTCTAGGGGTCCCTGTTTATGGTTCAGACCCTGTTCTTATCAGGGGGATCCAACTGGCCGTTTCAATGTCCCTCTGGTGCTGGTGCCCGTGGGTGCCCAGCCTACCCTCTCGAGCCCCCACCGCACTTCTCACCCGTTCGGGTGTGTGAAAGTTGATTCCACAGTCTGTCTGCAGCTCCAAGGCTCCTCTCCCTCTATTGTTCCATTGTTTTCCAGGTGATTTCTCCACTATTTAGTCACAATTCCAATTTGGTCTTGGCAGGAGGTCAGCGTGACTCCCATTCACTCCTCCGCCATCTTTTTCTCTTAAATTCTTTAATAATTAAAATTTCTCTTCTTCTGCTAGGTAATTTCTTTTGACTTATTTTTAATTTACAAATTCTCTCTTCAATTATGTCTAATATTCTGTTAAACTCAATTCTATACATATAAAATATGATATATCTACCTCTATATATCAACATTTTTAGTGGTTTTCAGGAAGAGGGTTATGTTCTGAGAGCTAATCAGACATGTACTAGAAACTGATAGGTTAGATGTGCTATCTTTTTTTCTGAAAAATGTAAGCAATGTTTATATTTTGTTTATGCATAGTATAGTTTAGCAAATGAGTTGATCTAGTAGACTCTGGAATGGAGTATGGTATTTTGGGAGAGAGTGACCTACTACCTTTGTCTTTTGTGCACTAAGTATGTAGAACTCTTTTCTTATGAGGTCATGATCTGAGATAATGGACCAAGTGCTTTACCAGCAGACCACATGAGAAGAGCATCCACCAGTGAGCCATGAACCCAGGATATGAGAATAGCATCCCTTCTTTCCCTTTTTCATTTCTCTTTCCTTCCCTTCCTCTCTCCATTCCTTTTTCCTTCTTGTTCTTTGTTCCTTCCTAGATAACATTCAAAATCATAATAAACATTATGGAGGGCCATTATGAGGGAGCAGATTTCTGTCTATGGTGAAATCTGATTCTGACCATAGATCTTGACGGCTTCTGAAAAGGGTTGGGAAAAAAATTAATGCTAGGTGAGGGGGCAAGGATTATTATAATATCAAGGCCACATGTAAGTTATATAACTACTATTTGTACATTTCCCTGTTAAATTGACCCATGAGTGGGAATAACATACCTTTCCCAAGGTAAGGATTCAATGTAAGGGAAGCTGTAATTTGAATTTCTCAATCTATGGAAGAGACAACACTGAACAAGAACAGATACTATTAAAGGAAGCCAAAATATGTCTCTCCAAAATATGTCACTTTGGCATTCTGATTAATATGAATTAAAGGCACTTAATAAACCGTACATACTTTGATGCTCCCCCCCTTTTTTTCCCTTAAAGCAGGAGGTAAAATCCACATAAAAGGTACCCACCCTGTACTAGGAAGAAGGAAGACATTCTTGTCATCAGAGATGAAGAAATCTGTATAAACAAATGATGTTAGGCTAACCTTTATGTTCCTAGTTACTTTTCTACTTCCACTATTTATTATTCTTAGCCCAAACCCCGTTGTCTTGTTAATTCTTCACAAATATACTATTTCTTTGTTTAAAAGGTGTAAAAGCTTCCTGCTCTAGTCACATCTTTGGATATTCATTCTCTGGTAAAGAATCCCATGAACATACAAAAAAATTAATAATATTTGTATGCCTTTCTCCAGTCAATAGGTGGTATGTCAGTTAAATTCTTAGACCTAACCAGAGATCCTAACAGGGTAGAGAAGAATTTCCCTCCTTATACTACTATCCCCATTTCACACACCAAAACTGAGGCTCAAGACTCTTAAAAGTTAGTTTTTCTACCAACCATTTTCATGCAGATTGTTGGTGCCAAGCCAGGATGGCAGTTTGTGTCCTCTGACTTGAGTTCTGGCTCTTCCTGCTCTACAGGGAAGTCAGGAGAAGAAGGAGAGTCAGCACCGCATCAGTGAGGCCTCAGGACCACTCACATAGACACCTCATTTTGATTCCACATCCTTCAAGTCTGTGATTTGACTTTGGAAGATCCAACAGTTGCAGTGATCTGAGATAATTTCCTGTCCAATCTATGTTCTTGCAATGAGTGCTCTTAATAGCACAGAGATATTCTTTATTCCCCCTACCACCACTTAATGGGAAGGATAAATGGCTGACCTAGCCTGGGCCAGGAAGATTCTCTCTTCAAGGAATCTGGATTTGGACTATGCAGACCTAGTCAGCTAGCTGTGAGGAGAGGAGTTAGAAGGTTCTGTAAGTTCAGGTGCAGAGGTCATCATTTGGAGTAGCCAGAATGGAGCCATATATACTAGATGAGAGAAAAAGCCAATTTGCAGAGAATGTAGACCTCTAGCCTACCAAAGAGAGAAAAGAATAAATGGTGAGAGATGGGGGGGGGTGGAGAGAGGGACACATTAGCTGTCTAATGATGTTTTGGTTCATGAGACCCAATTAAGCACCCTGCAATTTGTTTCTATTATATTATCCTATTAATAATTCCTTTTTTACTTGAGACTCTTTGAGTTTCTGAGCCTTGTAACCTACTGAGCCCATTCTAAATCATCACCCATGGAATGCCAGGTACTCACAGCAATTGCATTTGGTGCAATATGACAGCAGTCGGTTATTCAACCAGTGTTGTGAACACCCACTAGGCAGACCAATGTGTGATGTTCAATAGGGAATATAAAGAAAACCAAGCCCTGGTATTTGATCTAAAAGAGCTGGTGGTTTAGTCTATCATACTTGTAAACTTTTGTTTGGGAAACAAAATTAATACAGACAAAACAAGGAACAAATATATGATACCACAAAATAAAGTGCTACGCTGGGTGGAACTTATTCTAAGGGCAACCAAGTCAGAAAACACAATTCAAAGAGTTCTTATGGAAGCAGAAAGCTTAAAGTTCAGTGTGAAAGAACTGTCAGGACTCAGGTTGACTGAAAGGAGTACAGAGGCTTAGGAAAGAGTGCTCGCCAGATGGCGAGAGATGGAGTAGTGGGAGAAGCTGCAGACTTACAGGGAGAGGACGGAGGCGTGGGGCACGAGGAGACAGTTACAGAGTGTGGCTGGCTATGCAGGAGGGAAAGCCTCATTCAGAATTTTTAAATTGCTCCTTCACCTCTCCTTCTTCCAGACTCCATCTGAGATTCCTTCTTTAGCCAGCATTCCTCAGCCCTGACACATTTCCTATCCTTGTCCTTCTCCTCTCTTCTTTCTTTAAAGTGTTTCAATTTAAACCATTCTTTGTGACTCTCTTTCCTGGGAGAATCACTCTAAGAAGAGAAGAATGAAGTGCTGTGGGGAGATGACCTCTCTGAACTTAGTGGTTTTTCTGTGAGTACAATTATTTCCCTGATAAGCACAGTTGATCTCTGCTATCTATAATCCCTTACACTCTGAACTTTGTCTCTTGGCTAGCATTGCATGCTGCTCACGTTCTTCTTCCTGCCGCTCCTCCCTTTTCCTAGAATGTCTTCTCCAGGAATTTAATCACTTTCTAAAACAGCCAAACATTTTTGGTATATTTCTCTCAGTCAGTGTTTAACCAGACCCCTGTCTTTAAGGGGTGGGCTGAACTGACAGAAGAAATGTTGAAAGCCTGAGACTCAGGAGGACAGTTTCTGCAGGGTGGCTCCCTGGCCTCAGGAGGAGAGGGAAGTAAGGCTGTGGACAAGTGGCCTGGCAGTGAGACACAATGGAATCTGGCTTCACCTCCAAGGACACCTACCTGAGCCATTTCAACCCTCGAGATTATCTAGAAAAATATTACAGCTTTGGGTCCAGACACTCCGCAGAAAACCAGGTTCTTAGGTTTCTTCTGAAAAATCTTTTCAACATATTCTCTGTGGGTAAGTTTTTCTGTTGTCCATGTCTCCTGTCCCTCCCCTTCCCAACTGTGAGCCATATAGGTAGGCTCTCAGGGCATGACCAGGTTTTCTGTCTAGTCATTGCTATTGGACAGTCCTTTTAGTATCACCTACTTACATAGCTCAGATAAAAACTAATGTTGTTATGAATATTTTACAGTTTACCAAGTGCTTTTATATCCATTACCTTGTATGGTCATATAAAAGGGAAACCAGAGGGTAGGAGTTCTGCCTTTGATTCAGCATGGATTTGCTATGTGACAGAGGCAGCCATTTGGCCCTCATGATAGGCCACTTTAGAAATGGAGATTCTAAACTCTGTTCCTAACTCAAAGGAATGTTGTAAACATGCATGAGATGAAGACCTCCCAACATATGAAGAACTGGGTGCTTTTTGGATAAAGACATTATGTAAAGTCCATTTAAAATTTTTTTTTAACTTCCCCCAACATATTCTTTAATAGTTTTAACATACACTGTATAGCAGTTTTTCTTGATCAGGAGCCTGTATGCCAGATGTAGATCATTTTTCCCTTCTCCTAGACCTAAAAATACCCTAGCAGCATGCCTCCACCCTGGAGTGGGGAATAGAAAATGAAAAGAAGTTTTAAAAAAAGACTTTGCTGTAAGAGTAGTGAGTCACGATGGTCTACCAGTAAGAGAGATGGTCTGTCTTTGGGGCTCCCGCTGGGGTTTTCCATCATAATGCTGTTAAAGACAGTGCAAAGCAGCCCTGACTGCCACCATGTAAAGCCTGACTCCCCCTCCCGGTCCCTTCTCTACACCAGGTGGCATAAAAGGAGACCTCCTGATTGACATCGGCTCTGGCCCCACCATCTATCAGTTCCTTTCTGCTTGTGAATCCTTCAAGAAGATCATTGCTACTGACTACGTTGACCAGAACCTACAGGAGCTGGAGAAATGGCTGAAGAAGGAGCCAGGGGCCTTTGACTGGTCCCCAATAGTGAGCTATGTGTGTGAGCTTGAAGGTAACAGGTAGAGAAGCTGGGCTTTATTTCTGGGCTTTCGGAGGGAACTTGAATGAGTTCGTTTTTCAGGAACAAGACTTATTCTCAGAGTCCAAGTTGAAAAACAAAGAAGACAGAAAGAGAGAAACCAAAGGGGAATCCAAATGGACAATGAGAAAATGAGAATAAGGCAGACTTGCGTCCATGTGTGCATGCGTGTGCACCAGAACACAGAGAAAGCGCTGAAGAGATAGCGCTGAACCTTTGCAGGCCTGTATGTGGGCTCTATGTACTGGCCAGGTATGTTAGGACCTTGTTTTAGGACAACTTCAAGAGGTGAAACCAGCTCCTCCTTGGAAGTTTTTGGGTGGCAGTTTGTCCTTCTGGTGCCATTCTGCTCCTAGCCACCCAAGAACACAGGACTCTGCTGTGAGGGTGGCTAATTGCTACCACCACCAGACACAACAAAAACCTGGCTATGTTTTTAAAATGAAATCAGCAGCATAAAGAGATTATTTGAAAGGAACTTGTTACTTCACCATCCATAAAATTAGAGCTTTACATAACTCAATTAATGACCAAAATCTGACACTACCCTATCTACAAGTAAACTTATGCAAACAAATCTAGTTTGAATTACTCTTCCTCTCCACATGAGAAATTGGCAATAGTCTTCTAGGCATAGGTGACCAGTTCTGCATTTCACTGACTTGTTCTCTTGTCTTGATGTGCCTCCAACTCTGCTGTGCCCAGCCAACCATCAGCTCTTGGAGCATCTTGTCTTCATTGGTAGGCATACTGCCAAGACCCCATCAACTCCTTTGTAAACTGTAAAAAGATTACTTTAGTGTTTTGTCTAGGATCCTGCTGGTTTTGTCTGCTACGTCTTATATGCTTAGTTATACTTACTTTTTTTTTTCTGCTCTTGTGGGGATTTTTTTTTGTACATTTTTTTCTGTTTTTCCCCACTTCCTTACCCAGGATTTAATTTTTACATGAAATCTCTCTCTTCCTTTTCCATGCTGCTTTTTCCTATATTCCTCCATTTGCTCATATAATGCACACTTTGTGTGTTCACACAACATCTTCTGTCTTTCCTTTTCTTTTTTTTTCCACAATGGAAAAGCATATATATATATATATATATATATATATATATATATATAAATATTTATGAATACATATAAATATATAAATATAAATATATATATTTAATGAACATATCTCATGACTTGGTCAGGATTGGATTCTAATTTCCTGGTAAGACAATCTCCCTCAAGAAACAAGTGCTAAAATTTTTTGCACATGGTTAAAGGACCTAGAATTCATGCATTTATTCATTTTTTCAGCAAACCTATGTTGATCACCTATGATGTACCACAGTACTAGCTACTGGGATAGAATGGTAAACAAGGTAGAGGATGTTTCTGTCTCCTAGAACTTATATCAGGGAAGGTAGACAAGTGCCTGATCATTTGGGTCCTCGAGACCAAGTTAAAGATTGTGGACTTCAACTGTAACAGGACTGCATTAGCGGTATAACCAAGACAGTGCTGTGACCCAATTTGCATTTGTAAAGATCTCTCCAGTTATTGTTTGGAGAATGGATTAGAGGGGGTTAGAGGAGAATGAGAGTTGAAGAAAGAAAACAGCTTAAACCCAGATGAGAGATGATGGTGGTTTGGACTAGGTGATGGAGAGAGGTAGATGATTTTAAGATGCACTTTTGAAATACGATGGATAAGAGTTGACGTCACATACTAAGAGAGACTACTGTATTTCTGAACTTGAACAACAGGAGGATTGAAGCAATATTCCTGAATCTCAGGGAAAAATATAAGATCATGTGGTCTTAACATGGACCTAAGGAATATGCTGCCTCCCTGCTCCTCTTCTGGAGGGATGGTCATTTTCCTATACTTGTACTTACATTTGGGTCTCGTCTGGTCACCAACTGTGTTTATCCCTGAGTCAGTTTCCTTTCTGAAACTAACTCTAAAGTCTGCTTCTATTTCTTTAACACTCCCATAGTCTTTGAGTAGTTTGCTAACTTTGAACTTATTTTAGCCCTGACTGGTAAAGCTCAGTGGTATGGGTGTAATCCTGCAAACTGAAAGGTTACCGGTTGGATTTCCAGTCAGGATACATATTTGGGTTGTAGGCCAGGTCCACGGTTGGGGACGTGGGGGCCTCTTGTTCATCCATGTTTCTCTCCTTCTCTTTCTCCCTTCTTTCCCCTCTCTCTAAAAGTAAATAAATAAGTGATTTTTTTTTCTTTTAAAGAGCATTCTAGGCCTTGCCATTGTGGCTCAGTTGTTTGGAGTGATGTCCCATAGACCAAAAGGTTGTTTCCTCTCTCACATTGACGTCTGCCTGCCTGTCTATCTGTCTCTGTCTCTCCCTTCTCCCTTCCTCTCTCTCTAAAAGCAATGGAAAAAAAAAGTCCTTGGATGAGGATTAAAAAAAAGTATTATAAACTTTATCTCCACTTCTTTGCATATTGCTGCTATACTGTCTTATTGTTAGTAAACATGTCAAATGGAAGCAATCAAGGTAGCTGCTGGTGGTAGTTTTTTTTTATTAATATAAAGACATGAATAAACTGGGAGTTTTATATTTTGTTCCAAATTAACCTCTTTTGCTCTTATGCAGAGTGACTAAATTTCCATTGGGTTTACACTGGTATTTTATCCCTTTTACCAGATAGTGTAGGACCTCCAACTTTGTTCTTTTTTAAAATTATTTTAGCAAATTTAGGGCCATTAATTTTAGAATATATGTATCAATTTCTTCAAAAAAACATGCTAACACTTTGGTTGTGTTTTCTTTTGAGTTTATAGATCAGCATACAAAAAGTCCTGGAGCCATACCTATACACAGTGACCATTTAGTCCATAAGCACGGTTTAGGTCTCCATGTAAGACTTTAGTTTATCTCTGCAGTGTTTTGTAGTTCTCATATTTTGCATATACTTTGTTAAAATTTTCCTGTGTGTCACATTTTTAATGCTATTGTTAAATGTATTTTAAATTTTATTTTTATTTCATTTTATTAATTTCATTTTTATTTAATTGCTACTATATAGGTACAATTGATTTTTATTTAATTGCTACTATATAGGTACAGTTGATTTTTGTATATTGGCCTCGTGTCCTGTGATCTTGCTGACTTTGTTAATTAATTTTACAAGTGTTTTTTGTAGATTCCATAGGGTTTTCTTTCTTTTTTTTTTTACAATGTTATAATATACGTTAGACATTTATGTAAAAGGTGTTCCGTTTTTCAAAAAAATTTCCTTTATTTTCGTCTTTGCTATCTTCTTTAGAGCAATAAACATTAATTACTGCTCTTGTAGGCAAGCTGCTTCATTGTGTTGGGCAGTAATTATAACTTTATGTTTCAAGACATTATCATCTCTAAAAACTCCCTTTCATTTCACTGCACAGTCTTACTGTACTGCGTCATGGTAAAAATACACTCTACCAAAATTCGAAGAGCCTGAGTGAAAGCTAGAGGCTCAAGGATGTTTAGGTGCTGGCTTAACAACGGTGTCTCCTGGCACAAACCTTCTATTTATTCATATTATTAAAACTGCAATAATAGAAATGAAAGCTACTTTAATGAAAAAAGGAACTCAGGAAGGAGATCATTAAATATATAAATAAATTTTATATTTTAAAATATAAATAGCATGTATTTCCTGATTAGTATCAGGTAAATATCTAAACTATCCCAAATTCTGATCTAGGAAAATGAGCAGAGACAATTACGAAGAAGGTGCTTCAGATTATCAGGTCCATTTTGAGAACAATGAAGTCCTCTGGGACAATCACTTTAGTCTTTCTTTTTATCAGAGATTTCTGCTGGTAATCCATTTATGTCTGCACCCTTATAGTCTCTTTTGCCTTTGCTTTTATTGTTGGATTATTGTATAGTTTTTCTAGGCCACATGTGGCTAACAAAGGGGGAAATAACTGGGTATATATATGGCTCCAGTAACTTTTTGTAGACCCAGAGCAGAACCAGAGTGAGGATACACACCATTGTCCCAACTTGAGCTCCTGAACGTGAGAGCACAGGCAGGCAGAGAGGGGCCCAGGGCAAACGGGCTGGGCTCCCTCTGGCTGGCTTCCCAATATCCCCTGCCCCTACCACCTCCACCCGCCACCTCCATCCTGCCTTCTTAGCCTGAGCCCATGTGACCCCATGTGGGTCCATAGGGTTTTCTACATACAGACATATTGCCTGCAAATAAAAAGTTTTGCTTCTTCTATTCCAACTTGATGCCATTTATTTATTTTTATGGCTTTATTATACTGTCTAGGACTTCCAAAACAATGTTGAGTAGAAATTATGACAGCAGACATTTGTGCCTTTTTCCCTATGTTAGGAAATCACGTTCAATATTTCATCATTAAGAATGACGTTAGCTCTGGGTTTTTCATAGATACTATTTACCAGAAGAAGTTCCCTTGTAATTCCTAGTTTCTTGGGTTTTTAAAATCAAATGTTGAATCTTGTTAAATGTTTGTATTTGTTGAGAGGTAGTCAAATAATTTTTCTCCTTTATTCTGGAAATGTGAACTGCATTGGATGGTTTTGATGGTTTAAACCAAATTGACCTAAACCCCTTCACCATGAAGTAGTATTCTTGTTTGTATCTATATTTATGAGGGAGATTGAGCTTGACTTTAAAAGTGTCTGGCAGATTTTGGTATCAGCATGATGCTAGATTCATATAACAAGTTGAGAGTGCTTCTTCCTCCTCTGTTTATTAAAAGAGTTTCTATTATTAGTATTATTTTTTTCCTTAAATGGTATCTAGAATTCACAAGTGAAGCTATCTGTACTTGAAGGGATTTTCATGAGTGTGAAGATTTTTTACTAAAAATACTACTTGTATAATGGCTATTTGGAGTTTTTATTTCTTCTTTTGTATGTTTTGGTAAGTACTATTTTTGAAGAAACTTGTTCTTTTCATCCTGGTTGTCAACTTTATTGGCACAAGTTTTTTTTTTATTGTTGTTG